CCCGCCCCCAGCCCCTCGCTGTGTGCCGGCTGCAATGCCCCCGCTGCTGAAATCAGCCAAGCTCCCAGCCTGCTCAGTGCCAAGCCCTCGCCCCACGCTGACCACTTGTCTCATTTTCGTTTTGGCTGCCCTCAGACACCAAAGGTCAAAAAAAAGGTCTTGAAACTTTCCTCCTCCTGTTGCTGTACCCAACCACCAGTACGAATGGCATCGGATGCCCCAGCGATGCACCCGGCTGCTTCTACTCCGCTGCTACTAATTCAGTATTGCTTTCTCCTAAAAATGCCTGCGAGATGGACGAGACCAGGAGGACAAGCATCAGGACACAGTTCAGCCTCCTCTAGCCCGGTCAGCTTCTGCCGAGCTGCAGGACTGGAGCCGAATCAACCCCCAGGACCGTGGCAGCTGCTCCCGAACGCCCAGTAACCCCAGTGACCACCCCACCCCCCCCAGCTTCGGCCTGTTAACCACAAATGATTTATAGCATCAAATGAACAATTCACCTCCCAAATAAGCTTTCTGGTTTTTCTCACGCTTCTTCTCACTTTCCTTTAATCTGTTCATTCTCGGCAATTTTTCTGGCGTCTTTATTACAAAATATCAAAGCTGAGCCATCAGTCAGCAAAAATCTGATTTTGCTCCTTCTCATAAGAGCCTGGTGCATACCCGCTGCCCGGCTGTCCCTCTGCAAACCCTCTCCTCCCCCTCCTCGCTCCTGCACCAGTCAGCACTGGGAATTAATGTCAGAGCCAGCCGAACACGGGCAAAAAACCAGGGCGGTCACATTGGTGGCGTGAGGGAAGCGTGAAGACACTTGAAAAGTGTCTCATGGCTCGAGTGCTGCTCCCAAATGTCACCCCTTGGCTGGCCACTGGTTTTAATCTGCCTCCAGTGCATGAGGTGCATTCAGAAGATGAGATTGTACAGGCATGAAATCACAGGCAAGTCCTTCGCGCTTAACACAGGGCTTAAGGCTGTCTGAAAGGGAAAATAGGGTCCCGATGGCGTTGGCTGAGCTGTAGCCAACCCAGTGCCGGGGTCTCATGTTTTACAGTCTCAGGGAACTATTGGGTTCATCTGGCTGATTTATGAGTGCCCTAACTTTATGAAGATGCTCCTCACAACCCTGTGTTTAAGCTCAACAGGCCGCGAGTTTGACAGGGCTGGGTTTAACCAGGTGTAGGCAATTCAGGTCGCTGCTGAGCCAAACGGTGCCTGAATGCTGTTCAAGTGACCTCCCACCTTTACTAAAGGCCTCGTCACACTCCTATCAGCTTTAACAGCAACTTTTCACATCCATCTCAACGAGGCCACAACAGAAAGATGGGTCTGATGGCTCCTGTAGCAGAACTTGGGGTGATGGAGTGTACCCCAGGGCTGACAGGCAGGAACAGGGGAGGCAGACTGTGGTGCTGGGAAGGTCTGAGTCCCTCTGCGAAAGGGTATGATGCCTCCTCCTGTGCCTGGCCAGCACGCGAGTCCGTCAGGACGCTGAGAATAGCTCCAAACAAGGAAATTCAGCATCACTTGTTGAGCAATGCTAGCCTGTGAGCAGTTGAGGAGCAGTGCACTGGGCGTGAGGATGGTTTTAATCTGCTCTGGGCTGGACAACTTCCAAAGGTCCCCTCCAACCTCAGCCATTCCAAGGTGCAAGGAACTTCAAATCCAGGAGCGGCCAGCCAAGGACAGAAAAGCCAAAAACTCCCCATAAGCACACATATCTATATGTCTGTTTCTTTACGTGCGCCTGGTGGAAAAGGCCATGACCCGTTTTGGTCGTGGGCTGAAGATTTCTGCAGTTGGCATGTCTCTGGCAGACACGGTCCCGGTTGGAAAGGCTGCGACCCCAACTGTGGCATTTCTCTGGCGACCCACTGAAGTTGTCACTTCTGCCCACGGCTTTTGGGTCCCTGTGCTGGCTGCACCGCTGCCTGCGCTCTTCATCACAGACTTTAATCCTCTGCTTCATCAAGTCTGGTGGGTGGCGGAGTGTGATGACACCCAGCGTGGGCTTCGCCATCGGGTCTGCTCACTTGCTGCCGCTGAAAGTCCGGGGTTCAAATGCCATGGCATTAATTGTAGCTGGCTGTATTCGCAGTCAAAGTCGGTCCCTCTTTAAGGGGATGCTCTGATTGCCTGCCATGTCGGGGGCATCCAGGATGGGCAGCCTCCACACAACCATCTGCTCCACACTCCCAGAGTAAAAACCCCTTTCCATTAAAAATTAAAGCAAATGCTTCCTCTGGAGCCTAGGGCAGCCAGGAGAGGGGAAGATTGTTTTCTCTTGTTGCCCTGCAGCTGCCTGTTAATCATCTCATTTGAGAGGCCAATACTGCCTCGACACCCACACACACCTCCAGACACAGCCTTCTCCGGGTGCACAACGATGGTGGATTTATAGCCCCACCGGCCCGTTCAACGTGGCCGAAAACACGCAGGAGGCCGGCGGCGATGGGAGTCGGGGTGTTTCCTCACGGGCAGGTGAGCCAAGCTTCGCCGCGCAGCCTGGGTTTTGGGGACCCCGTGCCAAAACAGGGTTTTGGCTGCATCCCTGTGCTGAAACACCATAGGGGCAGAGCACAGATCAGGGTCCCAGCCAGCTGAGGGCGAGCGAGTTGGGACTGGTGGATGAGGAACCGCAAACTGGAGAAAAGCTTATTTTTCATTGCATCCTGCTTATCTATCCATCCCATAGCTGCTTCATCACAGCCACAGCTGCCCTTCCTCCTCCTCCCAGCATTCCCAGGTCTCTTCTTCCTCTTGGGTATCCCCAGGGGGGTCATTTGGAAAAAATAAACCATGAAACACCCCTCATTAACATCCCTATCCCAGAGCTGAGAAGCAGAAAGCAGACAGCAAGACATAAAGAGGAGAGGGACGAGGGGGATGTACTAACAGCATCTCCCGTGCCTTTGAGGTCCCCAGCAGTGAGGGGATGACCCATTTTGGGGACAGCACCAGAGCAACAATGTCCCTGCCCCAGCCAAGGACACAGGGCAGCTCAGCAAAACAGTAATTAGACACTAACAACCTGCCCTTCTGATCTCTGGCATCTATCACGCCTGGAAGAACCTGGCAAACGCCTCCACATCTAATGGAAAAATCCTCGGGGTGCTGCCACCCACCAAAGGGGCTGGTAGAGGGGAAGAGGAAAAATAACAGCTATTTTGGCTAAATTATAGGGACTGTGGGTTTGTTTCCCTTTCGCTTGGCTTTTAGCAAAACGGCTGAAAACCTGGCTTTGGGCTTTACTGACACCTCCCTCCTACGAGACGTTGTGCTGCCGTTTGGGGACATCCATCTCTTTTGGCAGCCCTTAGTACCTTTAATTTAGGGCAATGCTGCTACTGCTCTGGACCCTTCTTTTTCCCTCAGAACACTCCCAAAACAGCCCCCTCTGCACTGCCAAAAAGTGAAACATTTCCTTTTGGACATCACAGCAGGCTGGATGGAAGATTTTTTTTTTTTTTGCATCCTCTCTTCCCTCCTGCTATTCCCCCCTTTATAAAAATGTGGACTTCTAACAGAAGGCAAGATTTCCACACTCCATTTCTTTCATTCAACTTAAATTCTCACTGAAATCTAATTTTCCAGCACAACCACAGTCAGCCAGGCCCCCTTTTTTCCCCATCTAAACTTCTCCCACCTTTATACTGGAAAAGTAGATCCTGTTGGTCCAAAATGAGAGGCAATGAGCATCGCACCTGTGGCCGAGGCATGAGAAAGAGGCACCCGGAGAGGGACGCTGCTGAAATTTAGTTGAAAACCTGCCCCAAACAAATGGCATTTTCCAGGCACCAGCACAAATCAGCTAGGAGGTCTCTGGCAACCTTGGCTTTTATGGAGCCAGTAGCTAATCCAGAGCCAACGATAACATCCAGCACCTGGGGATGCTTTGGAATGTGCTGCAGCCTGTAAGGCCACAGGAAACCAAGGCTCTGCTCTGCAGCAAAGCTCACCTGACTCCTTTGACTTCTCTAATATTTCCTTTTTTCCCATCCCTTAGATCAAGCTCCCGACATTTCAAAAGCAAAATCCAAACCCATGCTGCTGGGGACTGTCCCGAGCTTTTCCCGCTGGGGCTTTGTGCTGCTCAGAGGAGCAGGCTGAGACCAGGATCTGCCAAACTGATGTAAAAAAAAAAAAAATCACAAAGAATGAGACAAAACAGCACAGCAACATGGGTTTTTTTATTACTGTTTGAAGGAAGATGCTGCTCAGAAACATCTGATGACATGTCAAGCACATCAAGGAAGTTACTTATGATAATAGCAGCAGGAACAAGAACCTGCTTTGGGCAAGGGTTGTCATCCTGGTCTTTGTAAAAGCATCTTAAACCATGTCTGCGATAAAATCACCCTCTCCTTGCTCAGGGAGACTGATGGGAGAAGTTTGCTGCCCCCACAGACAACGTAATCGTGAGATTTGCTTTGCTTAACATAATTAATACTCATAAAAGACCACAGCACTCCAGGCTGTTTGCTAGAACAACTGTGAAGATTTTTATGGAGATGTATTAGGGACATTCAGATGCTGTTTTGATGGGAAGGATGTAGAAAAATCATCTGTGGTTTGTTGTCCGGGAAGACTGACGGCGAATTCTGCAACCGTAGGTGTAAGACCAGGTACCTGGGTGACAACCCACGTTGTGCTGCTGAACTGCACCCCTGGTACGGAGGGAGTATGTCTAATCCCACATGTTTTTTCCTGCTACATCATGGAACACTACCCAAGGGGGAGAGTGAGCCCTCGCGGGACCCTGTGGAGACAACTCCCAGTCCAAACGCAAGAGGAGCAGCCATCCGTGCCGAACACCAGCCCGGCTCCTGG